TTTTGTGCGAGACTTCCTCCAATTTTGACGCTTTCGACACGTTATCAAACAGGTTGGAATGTCACAAAGTGCCACGCCTGCCACGCAAAACGACATGACAACCTGCTTGGAAACCTTTGAAATGGACAGGTTTTGCACCTTTCCCCATAGTCACGGCGAGGCCACAGGAAAAACCAGAGACTCGAGACGAGACACGTGGGCGCAGAAAAACGAACATTTCGTGCGAGACTTCCTCCAATTTTGACAATTTTCAACACGGCATCAAACAGGTGGTTGGAATGTCACAAAGTGCCACGCCTGACACGCAAAACGACATGACAACCTGCTTGGAAACCTACGAAAAGGAGAGGTTTTGCAGCTTCCCTCATAGACACTGCGAAGCCAGAGGAAAACCAGAGACTCGAGACGAGAGACGTGGGAGCAGCAAACCGAGCATTTCATGCGAGACCTCCTCCAATTTTGACATTTTGCAACCTCAGAATCGACGTTTTCCTACGAGTTTTCTTAGGAACCTCTAAATTTGCTACATCAAATCGATGTTTCGTGCGAGGCTTCCGTCAATTTTCAGCACAGCTCACAAACTGCCACGCCTGCCACGGAATTTGCACCTTGTCGCCACTTGACGCAGCCCTGCCAATGCGATTTGCAAAAAACACGCAACACCACACGTCTAAAGTGCTGCGCCTGCCACGCAAAATGACGCTGGACACGTCCAAAGTGCTGCGCCTGCCACGAAAACTACAACGTATCTTGTGAAAACGTCGCAAAAGTATTGCGCCTGCCACACAAAACGGCTTTCGACACGTTACAAAACACGTCTGAATGTCACAAAGTGCCACGCCTACCACGCGAAACGAAGCAACGAAGCGTTGGAAACATCCAACAATGACCCCTCCTGCAGAACTTACCATAGGCACGGCCATAGAGCAATCGCGCGAACGGTTGCGCACGGTTGCGAACGGTTGCGAGCGGTTGCGAACAGAAACGCGACGTCCAGCGAACACACTCTCAGCCCCCAGACCCCCAGAGTGAAACGGGAACCCTTGCTACGCATTCGGGAAAAGAAGAAGAAGAAGAAGAGGAAGAGCTGCGGCTCTCCTGCTATGCTGGATTGCAGCTAAACGCTTGTAAAAACTGCGACAATGGTGGTTTTTCGGCATATGGTGCACTCTTGTGCTGTGTGTGGGGTTGGCGGTTGCTAAACTCATTGCAATGGCAGCCATGACTCTTTCATGTCGTTGATTTCATGCCATTTCATTGGCAACTGAAACTGGTTCATTCGTTGATGCACCTCACAACCTTGATCTCTCATTGTTTCTGCATCCCACAAACATTCCTATAGGACAATGATGGTCTTCTAGTCATTGTTTCGGTACGAAAGGGCACTATCCGATATCTCAAACAAGGCGTGGGGACAACAAGGAATGTTTGAAACCAACAGGGCAAAAAGTGACGTTCGAAAAACCAAACTGCCTTCACATGTGCGATGCGGAGCTCTTGTTCTTCGGAAGAATAGGCCGCCTTAGAAAGCAGCATGAACAGATTGGAGAAATCAAGCGACAAACATGACACTATATATATATATATATCTCTCTCTCTCTCCATCGCCATCTCAAGAGATCATGACATTATATCAAGCCTCCCCAATTATTTCAAAACTTGGCAAAATTGTGAGTTTGGGGATCTCACAACATCACCTCTGGCTATTGGAGATGGTCCCCGAAACGCAAAGATGTGAGTGATGTTGAATTTCAATAATTCACCACAAGATCAAAATTTGAATACATTTGAATACAACATCTTTTATCGGCAGAGAAAACATCAGAAAACAACATCAGCACCGGGCCCGTCCAAGCGACATGCACATACCCCGCAATACACCTGGTCCCCGTCTGCACCAAAGGCAAAGTGAAGCACGAGCGGTTGTTGCCAGTCACCACGGTCTGGGCAGCAGAGTTTTACCAATGAAGGGCCCCAACGGCATCCGAGTACTTCAAAGGCACTTTTGGGTTTTGTTTGGAGCTTGTTCCTTGCATTCGTGCTGAACTTGCCTCACATGTATAGCTGAGGAACTTGCTATAAAATGTCTATGAAGGACTCAAATCTCCAAAATTATTGGCAAGAACACACATGTACAACCGATGTGGATGTGTGGATGGATGACTGATTTGGATTTCCGGACTCACGCGTGCATCAATGCGTGTCTACACATGTATATATGCGAAGATGAAAGCATATAACATGAACAAATGAATAATTCGAATATTATATGTATATCTACATGACTCTACATGTTCAATATTTAATATGTGCATGTAGGAAAAATTGCTATATCTTATATCGCGGATACCAATACAGAAAGATGGATGGAAAGATAGACAGAAAGATAGGTATACAAACAGAAACAAAACGAAAGTAGACACAAGTAAATACGAGCAGATACAAATACCAAGTAAATACGAGCAAATTAATAGTTATATAACATATGTATACATATGTATGTGATATATAAAAAATAGATACGCAGTATCGAAGGAAGTTTAGAAGTCAAACTTCCGACAATACCGACAGATGAAAAAGCAGACGTGGAAAAAGTCAGAGAAGAGAAGAAGAAAGAAGATCAGAAAAAGAGAAAGAGTCAGCAGAAAGAAGATGCAGGTGCGCGAAAAGGTAGAAAACTCGCGAATCACTGAATCACTGTGTTTTTCTATGTTTTGTGGAAAAGGAGGCTCGCTAAAGTGGCGGGTGCGGAGCCATCTGGCCAGATGAGAGATAAAAAATTGCACGCCGTTGTGGCGCGAAGCACATTTCAAGTCAAAACTGTGAAAAACCTGTCGGGTTCGGAGCACTTTTGGAAATTGAGATGTTGAAAAAATGCACGGCGTTGTGGCGCGAAGCACATGTCGAAGTGAAAAAAATGGAAAAAAACCGACGGCCTCAGCTTTTGGAAGTTGAGCTGTTGAAAAAGTGCACGCCATTGTGGCGCAAAGCAAATCAAAATGCGCAAAAAGCATCAAAAAGCGCCTCAGTGTTGGAGCTCGTTTGGAAGCTGGGATGTTGAAAAGTGCACGCCGCTGTGGCACAAAGCACATGTCGAAGATTGTCGAATCATGTCGAAGTCAAAATGGTAAAAGCACCACATGCACCGACCAGTTTTGGACGTTGAAGCGTTTTTCGTGGCAGGCGCAAGGGATTCCGCACCTTGCCAAAAGTGAGCAAAACGTGAGGGTTTTGTAGCAGCTTCAAGAACGTTGGCGGCTTGGGACATTTGAAGAGGCTCTGATAGGCTCTGCAAAGATGCATTCCGCATGGCAGATGCAGCACAAGAGACACATGAGTCAGACATGTTCGGCGCTGATTTCCTGGGAATGGCTGTATTTTGCCGAATCAAATCTTGAAGTTTGCTTGGATGATTTTGCGTCAGGCGCGGCACTCCCTACCACTTGGCATCACTTTTTCGTACTTTAAACACATGGAGTGGCAAAATCGCAAAAACACATTGGTACGAGGCTGTCAGCTTTGCACTCAGCTTTCCATTGTTGAAGGAGGTCTCGCAGAATTGCTGCGTTTTTGGTGTTGTCAACGTCGCAAAGTGGGAAAGTCCCGCTGAACAGCCTCGTTTTGGATGTTGTCAACTTCGAAAATTGAGGAAGTCTGGCAGAATTGCTTCGTTTTTAACGTTGTCAAGTTGAAAAATTGAGGACGTCTAGCAGCATGGCTGCGTTTTTTGATGGTGTCAAGTTCAACACTTGAGGACGTCTTGCAGAATAGCTTCGTTTTCAAGCTTGCAGATAGAGAGACAGATAGATCGACAGAGAGGTGGATAGATAAACAAACAGATAGATAGACAGACAGAGAGATAAATAGATAGACAAACACTACAACTACGCTACGCTACACTAGAACTACACCTACAACTACAACTATAATTACCGCTAAACTACAATAGTCTAAAACTACACTTACAACAGCAACTACACTACAACTAACACTACGAGTACAACTACGACTACAGCTATGCTGCAACTAACACGACAATTACAAATCGAACTTCAACTACCAGTACAACTACAGCTACCAGTACACTCCAGCTAGAGCTAGAGCAACAGCTACAACTACGCTACAACGACAAGTTCCAGCACAAGTACAAGTACAACTTGAACTTGAACTTGAACTGCACTACAGCAACAGCTACAACTACAACTACCACAACGCTACAACAACTACTACAGCCACAGCTACAAGTAAAACTTCGACTGCGCTACCTACAGCTACAACTACAACTACAACTACAACAACCACTACACTACACTACAACTACAACTACAACGACTACAACTACAACGACCTCAACTACTCCTACTGCTACTGCTGCTACTACTACTACTGCTGCTGCTGCTACTGCTACTGCTGCTACTGCTGCTGCTGCTACTGCTACTAGTACTGCTACTGCTACCACTACCACTACACACTACTGTACATTCAGGAGTTGTGGGTGGGGTGACCACTGCAACCACTGGAAAGACCACAACTCCAGCCACCTCTCGGTCCATCAGTGGATTCGCCCTGTCGTCCATGCATCACAAAAATTCACCTCTCCTATAGTTGTCTATATTTGAAACTTCCGCCACCGCTTTGTGCGGTACTTCTGGTAAACACAAAATCCCGCGCTTGCTGACGAAATCTGTTGACGTTGACATCTTTTTTGTTCACGCTGGTGACAGCTGTAAATACCCCTGCCCCAGATCACTATGACCCTTAAACATCCTTAAGCGCCCTTTTGATTTTCATCCCTGTCGGGATCAGTCAGTCAGAGCCATGCCGCGAATGTTTCGTCCCAGCCTTGATGCCTTCGACTGGATTGCCGGCGTCTGTGATGACGCCCAGGTCCTGGCACCAGTCCTGGAAAGCTGGGCCATGTTGGTTGATGGATGATGGTTGGTGGGCTTCTTGGGTGTGCTGGCTACCATCCAAATGCACAGGTTCCTTTAAATTTCCACTCACAAAAAAACAGCTGTGGGATACTCATCTGACACCGCAAGCTTCTTCACGTCCTCTGGCTTGCGGTGTCTAAACCATGGCTCTTTGTTCATCATCCTTGGACGTGCGCATCAGCACCATTGCAAGTTTGGCCCCTACATGTCCAAATGTTTCAGCACCCTGTGTTCAGCTGCCCTGCTTGGTCTCCAATCGTTCTCAACCATGACTGCGTTGTTAAGTGCCGGAAACCCAAATTAGTTATTTGTTGTAAGCTGGAACCTGACCAATTACTGTATTGGTGTTCTCACGCATATCTGGGGGCCCAACATTTGGCCAATGTAGAATTACCCAGACATGACCCACGTCCAAATCGCTGGGCAAGAAGCAGGGCGTGGTCTGCTACGAAGTGTTTCTCCGATACTCGCAGTCTTGCTGCAGACTCCGCAGGGCACTTGCGGAGAACTACATATTCTCCAGTGTTGCCAGGGATCTTCCGGCCGGTGCTCTTGACAGCGACGACATCCTCCGACTGGAACACGCAACGCACGGACGCATGAATCCATCAGTATGCATGTCGTGTGCGCATCTGTCCTGTAGATCTATTCGTAATATATATATACATATATATACATATATATATATATATATATATATAAATAAATATATATATATAAATATATATTTACATATACATACATATATATATATTAGAGGGGGAGCTGAGAAGCCTCATTCCTAAACTACCGGTTCGCTAAAACCATCTAGAAAATGCCTTAGAATCTTCTAGAAAATGCCTCAACCATTTTTTTAAGGGGTGGGTACCCGAGCCACTATCGGACACATTTTCTAAAGCACAAATTTTCGAACTTTTTTGGTTTCTTTAAATCAAAAAATCTAGAAAATGTCATATGTAAAGAAAAACCCGAACATTTTTTGTCATTTTTGTCTAATAATAAAACTGTGTGGGACTATGTTCAGATTTTTATCTTTCAAAAAAATGGGACACGGATTGCATATCTAGAAAAATGCTGGGCTTAGTTTCAGAAATATACTTCTGGGATGTTATTTTAGGAAGTGGCTTGTGTATATATGTTTTTTGTGTATATATATATATATATGACATGTAAAAAATATATATGAATATACACATATGTATGACATGTATGTAGGTATACATATAAGTATACGTGTATATATATATATCTATCTATCTGTCTATCTATCTATCTATCTGTCTATCTATCTATCTATCTATCCATCTGTCTATCTATCTATCCAATGTCTAGGAAACAAGATCTTATGTCTAGAAATGATGTTGCAAAAATGCAAATATATCAAATCTCACTTCTAGAAAATGTGATGGGTTGGATTCAAAAGGATTTTTGACAATTCTTTTCTAGAAAATATTTTTTTGACCTGCGTTTTCTAGAAAATATGATTTTTAACCTTTTTAATCCTAGAAAATGACTGAGCAGAAAATGGAATCTGATTCAACATGATGGATATGCTGCTATGCTTCTAGAAAATGAGGTGGTGAAAATTGTCACTTGAAGAAGGTCGTAGCGTTTTTTTCAGATGTATACTCTAGAAAATGACTGGGAAGAGAAAACAGTCTCGAACCAAAAAATCGATCAAAAAACACCTCAAAATCAGATTTCTCTAGAAAATGAAAGACCAGGCTGCCCCGTTTCCTAGAGGAAATTCGGACGGGGATTGATCAAAGGAAGTTGGGAAGCAATACTTCCATGTTACGGGCAAATAGAACTGTGAGACTTGACCTTGATAAAGGGTGTTGTGAGACTTTACGCTACATAACAATACATCACAAAAGGATTGACCTTGATGAAGGGTGGTGTGAGACTTTACACTACATAACAACACATCGCAAAAAACTGACCTTGATGAAGGGTGGTGTGCGACTTTACACTACATAACAATACATTACAAAAGGCTTGACCTTGAGGAAGGGTGGTGTGCGACTTTAACCTAAATAACAACACATCACAAAAGAATTGACCGTGATGAAGGGTGTTGTGAGACCTTACACTACATAACAACACATCACAAAAAATTGACCTTGATGAAGGGTGGTGTGCGACTTTACACTACATAACAGCACATCACAAAAGAATTGACATTGATGAAGGGTGGTGTGAGACTTTACACTACATGACGATACATCACAAAAGGATGCAAAATGCATTGTAATGGCTGCATGAATGTTGCATGGGGCTTGTGTTGGGGAGGAAGCCGGAGCTCGAAACATTGTATTTTTCCGTTAAAGTGGCTGCAGGCGGCGATGAAAGGTACCTCCTGTGTGCGGCGGGTGCGGCTGCGGTCAGTTTGCCTTTTTCTTTGCCGCATTGTAACGGTGGCTTGAAGCTGCTTTGGTTCTGCTTGTGTGTGTAGTTATAGGGTGTTTTGGAATCTTCCGTTGCAGATCGCATTGGAATGGCTGCATGATTGTTGTCATCTGGTGTTGCCATGTGCGTAGATACGCGCAGGTTTGCGATGTGATGCTGCGAAACGCATTGTAATGGCTGCGTTAAGGTTGCTTGGTGCCGCGGCTGCATGCGTAATACTATTGTCTTTTGCAGCTGGATCTCGTAAATAGTATTGGAGTGGCTGCATCAAGGCTGCGACAGTGATTTGTCAGCAGATTTTCGCAATTTTGGCGCTAGCAATTTTCATTTTAA